TTGTGAAAATAAATCTCGACGCTCTTGACGTTTATTTATCTATGCTCGATATTATGTATCTTCAGGCGTTAAGTATTTGTAAGTTTTTTCTTAGCCACGTTAAATAATTCCATTCAAAAAAAAATTGGAGGTACTTATATAGCCGAAAATGGCCAAAATAATTATCAAAACAAACGAGAATAATCCTTTGGCTTTTAAACTACTAATTGCATCATATTTCGGAAAGAAAGATGTAGAAATTCGAAATATTAAGGCTAGCGGTGTGTTTGACATTATTTACACAATTCGTTACAAGATGTAATTTAAGGCAATATGTTGTAATTGTTTTAGATGCTGAAAATGAATTACGACTTCCAATTTTAATACTGAATGATGACAATAAGACTGAGATATTTTCAAGTAATTCAGCCGCATGCTATTTATTCGGCGAATTGACAAATAACACAACATGGTTAGAATGGGAAGCTGCTACTCTGTTACCAGCATTAATCAATAAACCAGCAAATAATAATAAATGTACTGCTGAATTATTAAAATATTTAGACGCATCTCTGAAGAATAAGTTTTTATTTGGTGTAAGTTACATTGATTTATGAGATCTTGAAACGTATTTACTTCATACCATTTTTCGAACAGGAAAATTTGACTGTTTCCGATATATGTATATTTGCAACTCTCAGTGGAGATGGCTTACCACAAGATTTTCAAGATACACCAAATTTAGCAAGATGGTATAATGAAATCTTGAGTCATCCACAAGTTCAGGTAATACAATGTTAATTTGTTAAAAAAAATACAGTAATTTTTTTTATGAAGTTGAATGTTTCCATCTGGATAAATCAAAACTTGTAAATCTATTTTATGTAGGACTTCTTAATTACATTTTAAATTATTAAATTTTTCAGTTAGCTGCCAGTAAAATATGTACGAAATCATTAAACTACAAAAATATTAAAGCACCATTATTGATTCCTGCTGTGTGTAAAATAAATATTTCACAAACAGATTCGATGTCATCATGCAGATCTACTCCTTTATCCATTAGTGATCATGTTTCTCCTGATGAAATACAATTTTCTAAAGATGGTTGGAAACATTTTGATATAAGTTTAAAAAAAAGTCCGAGGACTATGTAAGCATACTTTTTGCAAAATGTTTTACAAATGATGAGATTCATAGTGTTATTTCAGTTTTTTTTTTAATTTCAGTCTTCCCATACCTGGAGAGAAGAATATTTTAATTACTTCAGCTTTGCCTTATGTAAACAATGTTCCACATTTGGGTAATATAATTGGATGTGTGCTTTCTGCAGACATCTTTGCCAGGTAATTAACATCATATTTTATAAACATATTGTGCTATAATATAAATATTTTGTAAGTTTACATCTTCATTTTATTTAAAACATAAAGTTGACATTCAAATTATCATTTTTACATTTTTTGTGCAAATTTATTTAGTGATAAAACAAATTAAGTATATAAAAAGTTTGTTATCTTTCATTATTGCATAAGGTATTAATAAATAGTAACTGTTGTAATTTATTTCAAATAATTTCATTTTAGATACTGTCGGTTATGTAATTACAACACATTGTATATTAGTGGAACTGATGAATATGGAACTGCCACAGAAACAAAAGCTCTAGCAGAAGGTTTAACACCTAAACAAATATGTGATAAATATTTTGATATTCACAATTCTATATATCGTTGGTTTGGAATTGGTTTTGATTATTTTGGACGCACAACAACAAAAGAGCAATCAGAAATTTCTCAAGACATGTTCTTAAAGCTAAATGAGAAGGGCATGATTACAACGCAAACTGTGCAACAACTTCTTTGCACGGGGTGCAATAGATTTTTAGCTGATAGATTTGTTGAAGGAACTTGTCCCTACATAGGCTGTGGTTATGAAGATGCTAGAGGTGATCAATGTGATGGTTGTGGAAAACTAGTTAATGCTATAGAATTAAAAAATCCACGTTGTAAAGTGTAACAACGCCCCAGTGATCAGAGATTCTACACAATTCTTCTTACGCTTACCTGAAATTGAACAAAAATTAAAGAATTGGTTTGAATCATCCCAAAATGGGTGGACAAATAATGCAAAAGTAATAACACAGTCTTGGCTTAAAGAAGGACTTAAGGATAGGTGTATAACTCGTGATTTGAAATGGGGAGTTCAGGTTCCATTGAAAGGCTATGAAGATAAGGTGTTTTATGTTTGGTTTGATGCTCCTATAGGCTACATGTCTATAACTAGCAGATATACAAAAGAGTGGAGAAAATGGTGGCAACCAAAACCAGATACTGATATAAAATTATACCAATTTATGGCAAAAGATAATGTACCTTTTCATTCAGTCATGTTTCCTGCAACATTACTTGGTTTAAATGATGGTTATACTATGGTCAATCATATCATGGCTACGGAATATCTTAATTATGAGGATGGCAAATTTTCTAAATCTCGTGGTGTTGGTGTTTTTGGAAATGATGCTCAAGACACTGGTATTCCTTCAGATATTTGGAGATTTTATCTTGCCAGTGCAAGGCCTGAGGGTCAAGACAGTAGTTTTAGTTGGTCTGATTTAATAACCAGAAATAATAGTGAGTTGTTAAATAACTTAGGCAACTTTGTTAATCGTGCATTGAGTTTTGCCAAAAATAACTTCAATGGACTTGTGCCACAAATGATTTTGAATGAGGATGATTATACTTTGTTGGCTTTGTGCAATAGAGAATTGAAATCATATATACAATGCATGGAAAAGGCAAAAATGAGAGATGGAATTAAACATATGTTGGCCATTTCTAGACATGGTAATCTTTTTATGCAAACACAAAAGCCATGGGTTTTATTAAAAGGATCTGAAGCTGAAAAACTAGGGCTGGCACTGCTGTAGGTGTTTGCTGCAATTTATCTTATATTCTAGCTTTGTTGATGCATCCATTTATGCCAGAAATAAGTAGAAATTTGCTTCAACAACTTAATATGCCTTTGGGCTGCCTCAAGCCAGAGTAAGTAATATATGTACTACTACTATTGATTTAGTTGAATTGATTAAAAATCAACTTGTTCATTTATATGAAATTTAATGATAATTGTGTTACCTTGAGGTTTTTATGTTTAAATTTGAAATGAACATTTTATTATTTATGTTATCATTTGCAGACAACCCGTGATCGGCATGATGGTCAAAGGCGGTCATAAACTAGGAGAAATTATTCCATTATTTGCTAAATTAGATACAGCATTAATTGATCAATTTAAAGCTAAATATGGAGGTGCCCAAGTACTAGATTCTAAAAGTAACGTAAATAGCACTATGAGCAAGGAACAACTGGAAGAAGCAATTAAAAAACAGGTTTGATTCAGTCTGATGTAAATTATCAAGCGAAACAAATTGAATGTTGATTTATTTGTTAAGAACATAATTTGTTGTAATTAATAATAATAATTATAAATTATATCTCTTCTAAAGGGTGATAAAGTAAGAAGTTTAAAATCTAGTGGTAGTGATAAATCAGTGTGGCAACCAGAAGTAGCAATTTTATTGGATTTGAAAAAACAATTGGAAAAATGTTGTACAAATACAAACGTTGTAAACAATACAAGTGTGAATAATAATAAAGAAGAATTAGAAAAGGCTATACAATTACAGGTACATCATCTTTTTTTTTAATACTATAAACTTTTAATTTGAATTAATTGTACCTGTTCTTTTTTTGTGCACAGGGGGATAAAGTAAGAAAATTAAAAGCCGCTGGAGGTTCAAAGGCTACATGGCAACCAGAAGTAAAAATTCTCTTGGATTTGAAAAATCAACTAGCAAATCTCAGTTCATCAGGAAATGATAATGATAAACAAACGGAAACAGCTGAACATTTAGAAGAGGCCATTAAAAACCAAGTAAGTTGTTGCTGTGTGATAACACCGAATTAAAATATTGATAAGGAATATTTTTAATAATAATATTTGTTTTATGTAATATTTACGTATTTGAAATTATATTTATCTTAAATTACTCTTTTTTATGTATGATTTTCTTGTAAAATAATAGTTTTGAAGTGCACAAATAGTTTTTAAAATTATTTTGGTAATGACTTTATAGGTAACTACTAATTCTATACTAGAAATAAAATGTAAGTTCTTTTTCAGGGTGATAAAGTAAGATCGTTAAAGGCAAGTGGTTTAGAGAAGAGCGCTGTTCAGCCTGAGATTAATATATTGTTAGATTTAAAAAAGCGATTGTCACAATTATTAGCAAAATCTAAATGATTTTGTTAGTTCACAAATTATAATACAAACTGAATAATAATAAAAAGGCACTAGATTTCAATTATATGATTGCTCTTGTGTACGAAGATGGCAAATAACAGCAAATTGATATTATTTAAGATAAAAATGATGTATTCCAGGTTAGAAATAATATTTATTTATTTATGCTCAATAAATTGTCGCAAATTTTAATGTTTTTGATTAATTAAATTCATTTACCTTATTTTTTTAACTGAATTTTGGATTTGAACTCTGCTACAAATAATACGGTTCTAAATAAGAAGAATAAATAAGTAAATAAGAAACTAAAAAAGTAATAAAAAAATCTCCATTCAAGTACCGCCGCACTGGCAAAATATGTATTTTTTAGTAATGTATAATTGAAAATGGTCAACTGCATGGTTTTCAAAATAGTTTTATAAATATTATGTAGTGGACTTTTTGTCTTATCAAATTAAAATTTATTCAGTTTTAAATTAAATACACACACACTTAGATTATATACATGCAATTCTGTGCTTGCAGGATGCTCGTCGACTTCAACTTCTCTTTGTTGGTGGTGAGTTAAAGCGTCTAATTAAATATGCATAATAAAAATGATCCTATGTAAGGTTATATATTTTACAATTATTTTGGTTTTGAACTTTTTATTTTCATCACATCACATTTGGTTTGATAAAAGATTTTTAGCTCGTGTTTTTTGTATGATTATCTAAAGGATCAGATCAACTTCTTGATTATAATGCTTTGTTTGAAGTTAACACTATTTGTTGAATGTAGATGTATTATTGACAAATAAGTAATGAATGCTTACATTTACAAGATTAATTTCCTTACATGATAATTTTGACATTTCATAACTAAAGTTTACTTAATGACAATCACTTCTAACCCAAATCTTTTTAATTTAATTTAAAAAAAAAAGTGAATTGATTTGTGTTCATATTTATCAAAAACAGTAATGTTATAATATGCAAATATTGTAAGAAGCACAAGTATATCAAGATTTTAATTTAGTGGACTTTAGGCACATTGTTAATTGTGTAATAAAAATGTGATTTTTTTATACACTTAGTCACTTTTGAAACCCAAGTTTCACATTTTAAGTTTAATTTTCACCTGAAACTGAAGATATCTCAACAACAAAATATGGTGTAGAATAAGAATTTATTAAATAAAAAAATACATATGTATCTTATTTCTTCTTAGACACACCAACAGTACGACCTCTGCGGCCAGTGGTCTTGGTGTGTTGACCACGAACACGCAGACCCCAATAGTGACGCATGCCTCTGTGTGCCTTGATCTTCTTCATACGTTCCAAATCTTCACGCAATTTTGAGTCTAAATTGGATGAGGTCAATTGACTGTATCTACCATCAACAATATCCTTTTGTCTATTCAAAAACCAATCTGGAATCTTGAACTGTCTTGGGGTAGACATAATTGTGACAATCTTTTCAACTTCTTCTTCGGTGCATTCTCCAGCACGCTTATTTAAATCAACATCAGCTTTTTTCAGAACAATATTGGCATACCGGCGTCCAACACCCTTAATAGCAGTCATAGCAAACATTACTTTACGTTTGCCATCAATATTCGTACTCATAATACGAAGAATGTGCTGGAATTTGTCTGGGATAACAAGCGACTGGAAAGAAAATAACCTCAAAATACTAGCGTCACATACAAATTAATCCAATGTATTGTAAATTGCATCATATTAACTGCATTTAAAACTCATTGAAGTCAAACATTTGACTACTAGTACTATAAAGAATAGAGTAAAAGCTATAACTACAGCTACAACTACGAATTTTACAATATGCACTTACCATGATTGAATCCTAGCTGAGGGTCGATATTCACAATAAACTTCAACAAGTGAATAATCTGCAACAATTTAAAATTATTAGTGAGCTGTAGAACTCACAACTACAAATAATACAAATTCAATTTTTTCACATACCTTTTATTATAGTACGCTCATGTGGCCACGGGCGAAAAGGAAGTTAGATTTTCGTTCACATCGTCAGATGTCATTCCAACACAATTACCAACTATTCAAGCATTATTACATCGTTACCAACTGTCAACTCAGATTCTATTTGATGCGAGTTGAACGCTAACTGTATTATCTTTGACGGTACTAAAATTAAAAAATGGTTTAAATTTGCATTACCTGCAAGATGATAAGTCACAAAACATAAATAAGTAATTATCAGATTTATTCGCATTAGTTATTTTTATTTTCTCGATACTTTACTTTACAATACGATAATAAGATAACATAGATAACGTTTATAATTAACCTCCCGTAGGGTAAGTGATAGTAATCGTAATAAAAGAGAAAATGAAAGTTTATAAATATGTTTACGTTTCTAATGTTTTTGAACACTTTGACATACCTTAGAAAAACGGAAAGTGTGTGTGTGCGGATACAAAATTTCGTCGATAATTCTGGAAACACGGATCAACCGATTCGAATGATTGAAAAAACATTCGATTTGTACTGATGGGGAGACGTGTTAATTAATTTTGGAGAAGGTGGGTCCAACCGTTTCGAAGATACCGGATAAAAAAGAGTCAGAAATGGAATTCAGTTTTTGAGAAAACGACGCATCCAATTAGAATGATTCGAAAAAAAATTGCATTGTGGGATCGAAACATTGATCAAATTTTTGAAAAGGAGGTCCAGTGCTTTTGGAGATCTAATAAAAATAGTAAAACATCTGGCGGTCAAAAATATTCATTAGACATATACACATCATATCACTAATGTTTATTTGTTATTCGGTGATGCGGCGCCTACGCGCTTTGAGTCTTTAAAACAGATGCGCAGCGTGTTTACATTGAAAAGAAAGTTCAAAATTTTCAAAGAATGTTAAAATACAAAAAAGCAAAAGATAAATTAATGAATTACGCATTTCCAGGCGTGGCAAAAACGTGTTACCGTAATTATCAGCGCGTTATAGCATTTTATTATAGTGTCTAGGTATTATAGTATTGACTCATTTTATTTTATTTTTTGAAACATAAATTAGAACTCTAAATTCTAAAACTTAAATTAAATGATTAAATATCATTCTGTCAGGTATGCTGTTGGCAATTTCAAAATCAATTATCTCACTATTTATCGATGATATTTGCATTAATATTATACTATATTTATGAATTTGCATATATTGTAAAAATAATAAATATGAATAATGATAGCAAATAGCATTGCGTCCATATTGGGTCGGTCAAACGTGGCAACTAAAAGATCGATGGCTCGAGATAGAGATCTATATAGATTAATATATACCTCTATGGTGCAATTATCGATATTTGTATTGTGGTGGCTATTCTGATTCAAACTTCAAACTAAACTTTACTTGTTGGCTGTCAATATGTGATTTTATCTTTAAACGATTCGCGTTTTCTGGAGAACTGTCAGAACGAACTAATTAAAATTAAAATCTAATGAGAGTATTCACTCACAGAACTTTTGCTTATTGAGTTCATTGTGACAGTAAAACCGAAAAATTGAAATAAATTAAGTCGCCAATTTATTGTTTATAATGACAATGTCGATGAACCTGGATTCTTAAGCGCATACATACATATATGGGTATCAAATAACTGCTTCAAGTGCCTTATTTTTTTAAATATAGATCATTAACTTAACTCAATTCATCGTAATTATGTTGAATATTGAAATTTTAAATAGTGTTACGTCTTTTTCTTTAATCTAAATTGTGAATTTAAAACATATTTTTATTGAGCGTTACGCCTTTGTTGAAAATGGAGGTACCAGTAGCTTCAGCAGAAGTTCTTCTTAAAAGATTTCTATACATTTCTGAAACAGAATGTGCTTATGTGCCAGGAAATGTGTTTGCTCACCAATTTAAGAAAAATCAAGAAACTGTTTATGATCTTATATTACAACTTCAAAATGGTGAAAAACATATTCTCATAGAAAAAATATTCAAAGATGTAAGGACTTTTTCTAAAATATTTTTACAAAACATGTGTTATAATACATATATATTTAATATGCATGCATGAGGTCTATGGTTCTAAGATTTTCGCATTTTTCTAATGTTTATGCCATTCATATTTGTAATTTGTTATTTATTTATACATTCTATAAATACCTAACACTCACCTTATTATTAGAATTATTAACGGAAATTAATA